GGCCAGGCCCCTAAGTTCGCTCTGAAACGGTCAGAGGCCCGCTGCTGGCTGGGTCACCGAGAAGGTTCTCACCGGGACTGAGGTTCCGTCCGGCCTCGCCGGGATCCCACAGCTGCTCCTCCCTCTTGCCCTTGAACCTAAATATTTAGCTTCCGCCGCCTCCGTTTTGTTAGCACTTTGCTCCGGCGTTTTCGTCATGGGCTTTGTTTTTGTTTTTGTTTTGTTTTTAACCTGTTTTCAAGTCTCCTCAGATCTTTTCCAGAAGTGACTTTGGGGCAGGGAGGGGGCGGGGAGGGAGGGTTATGTGGTCGAAGTGCAGGTGGATAAATGCCACTTGCACGGCTCGCTCTGTGTTTAGTGACTCGTCTTGAGGCCTCAAGGTGAGTGATACGAACCCTCGAGCCCATGTCATCTCTTCTTCTTCTTTTTAAATATTTTAATTGATGTCAGAGAGGAAGGGAGAGGGGGAGAGAGAGAAACATCTATGATGAGAGTGATGGACCAGCTGCCTCCCGCACGCCCCCCACTGGGGATGGAGCCCGCAACCCGGGCCTGTGCCCTGACCGGGAATCGAACCGTGACCTCCTGGTTCACGGGTCGGCGCTCAACCGCTGAGCCCCGCCAACTGGGCTTAATTATTATGTTAAAAAACAATCTTCCACGTGGGCCTGTGGGAGACGTCTCCCTAATTTACATCCGGGGAAACCCGGCCTGGCCGCCTGCCTGGGGGAGGAGGTTGGTGAGAGAAGGAATAATCAGCTTCGCTGATCACACTCCTTCCTGTATGAGGCACCCACTGCTCTGTGGGCTGAGGGACGTTTTATTTACAAACAGAAGATCAGCTGCCTCGGGACACACCCGGCTGCACACGGAGAGTCGCCGTTTCCCCGGCGTCTGCGTGTCGGTGAGCGATGTCACCCACCGGGCGCTTGCAGGCTCCCCCGACTTCAGAAGGTTGTCCATGGCTCTGACGCCAGGACAACAATAGTTTTAAGAGTGTGGTTAGTGGTTCGCTCTGCGTTACAATCTTGGGATTTTTTTACTTCCACGGAGAACATACACTCTACATCCACACCTTTGCATGAAAATCATATAGAAATATGCCTAATATGCAAATTGTCCCCTCGAGAGAGAGTTCGACCAGAAGACCGGGAGTTCGATCGCTTGCGATGACATGTGCTGACCACCAGGGGGTGGCGTGGAACGAAGGGAGGCCCGGGCTGGCAGCCGGAAGGCCCTGATGGGCCCTGATTGCAGGCCAGGCTTAGGGACCCTACCCGTGCACGAATTTTGTGCACCGGGCCTCTAGTTTTAAAATAGGACCCCCAGTCAATGATTCTCTCTCATCACTGATGTGTTTCTCTCTCTCTCTCTCTACCTTCCTCTCTGAAATCAATAAAAATATATTTTGAAAGAGTCATCCTGGATGTGTACGCTGGTCATGAAGATCAGTGTGGTACCGCTTTTTAAAATAAACTGTCATGCCCTTAAAAAAAAATAAATGAAAAAGCCGTCCTGGAACATGTTAATCCACCTTAGGTATGCGCCCCGCTTGGCAGTTGTTCGTAACTCGCTGTGTACGAACCTTGAGTGAGGGTCACCGTTATTACCTGACTTTTGCATCATTTGCTTTCTCGCCGCTGGTGCTAACGTTGCCTCTTTCATTGGTTTGCAGCTTCCTGGGGTCGGAAGGCTCTGCCCCCCTCCCGCCCCCCGCAATGTCGCCCCCCATGGCACCTCCCATGTGCCTTCCAGGAACAGAATTCAGGTGAGTCTTTTATGATTTGATGCTTTTCTCCTGGCTCATGCGCGATTTCATTGAAATATATTTGCGAAGGTACAGATACAGTGTGTGCTGAACCCGGGGTGTTTCACACACGTGCAAGGTGAGATATGTAAGCCCTGGCTGGTGTGGCTCAGCGGATGGAGCGTTGGCCTGCAGACTGAAGGGTCCCGGGTTCGATTCTGGCTTGTGGGCTTGATCCCCAGTAGGGGGCGTGCAAGAGGCAGCCGATCCATGATTCTCTCTCATCACTGATGTTTCTATCTCTCCCTCTCCCTTCCTGTCTGAAATCAATAAAAATATATTTTTTAAAAAAATGATTAGATATGTAAGGAAGACACACGAGACCAAAGGCTTGAGATCTCCATGTCTGAGAAAAACAACGTAATTTCCAATTAAAACTAAAGTCCTATTCAAGCATGTTGGTGGATGTTTAGGAAACAGGACCAATATCATATGATTAAAGGATAGACACAGAAGGAAAAGATCTGGGCAACTAACTAATAAACCTCACTTACAGAGTCATTTCTGTTTCTGTGTCAAATCCTTAGTTGTCTCCATCTCTTTTTAAAAATATATATTTTATTGATTTTTTATAGAGAGGAAGGGAGAGGGATAGAGAGTTAGAAACATCGATCAGCTGCCTCCTGCACACCCCCTACTGGGGTTGTGCCCGCAACCCAGGTACATGCCCTTGACTGGAATCGAACCCGGGACCCTTCAGTCCGCAGGCCGACGCTCTATCCACTGAGGCACACCAGTCAGGGCTGTCTCCATCTCTTAACGGAAACATTTTATTGTTGTTAATCCTTACCTGAGGATATTTTTTTCCCATCGATTTTTAGAGAGAGTGGAAGGGAGGGAGAAGGAAAGAGAGAGAGAAACGTTCAGGTGAGAGAGGCACATCGACCAGTTGCCTTGGGCACAGCTTGTCTGACGCCCTTGAGACCCCAAATCCTAGGCGCAGGGGATGCTCCCAAATCTCAGACACCTCCCCGTCCCCCCACCCGTCCTCCCCGAAGGCCTGTCCACGTCTCGCCGTCGGATGCCGGTGAATCCTTTGGGATCGGGCACCGGTGACCGCCTGGGGGCTGGACCTTCTTCCCGCTTCCTTGGCAGTTGATGTCTACGTCGGGGATGTCAAGTGCTACGTTATCCGATATCTGTTTGCCCCTTGATCTTCCTAGTGAGACTGGGAAGTCCCGATACGGGCCCTCCCTTAGGCCCTTCTCCCCGGGGATCAGCTCCCTGCCCGGCATCTACAACAGATGAACAATATACCCCAACGAGCAGATGGGAACGGCACTGGCCGGTCAGCCGCGCTGGTGGTACACCCCCTCTTTCCTAGAGAGCGACCGTGCCCGTCTGCTGTTCACAGGGGACCCCTCGGCGCGGTTTCCATCTCCCCGTAATGATGTGTTTATTCCGACCACGGGCCCTCCCGTGCGTGGGAGTCTCTGAAGACCCGGCGTTGGTGTGTGGGAGGGGCTGGTCAGAGTCAAAGTCACCGTGGAGCCAAGGAGCGGCCTTGGGCTCTGTGAGTGGAACGCACCTTCCGGCAGGAATGGAATCGGGGTGACCTCGGCCTCATTAGCACCTGCCCTGGCGCACCCGCCTCACCAGCCAGACTACAAAGCACCCAGCCAGCTCAGACGTCCCCTTTGTCACATAAAACCTGCGGCAGAGACACACACACACACACACACACACACACGCACACACACGCACAGGCTCCCCGGGCCCTCACGTAGCCAAGGAGATCATCGTCCGTCCAAAGCCAGGCAAGCCCGCCAGCCAGGGCGTCCGACTTCTTTCTCTGAATAGCCTTCGCCTGCTAATTGGAAGGTTTCCTGTTTGTAAGAAAGTCCCCATTTCCCTGGTCAAATCAAGGATGCGTCCCCCCCATCCCCCCGAAACTTAATGAAATAACTGTTACATCATTCACATGCATTTCCTTAAGGATCCGTGTCAGGCCGGCAAACCCACGAAGGAAAAATTCGCATCTTCTCTCTTTTTTCTCTTTTCAAATGCTGGGCCGGGCTGGGTGGGTTCCAAGTTCAGCGAGTGCACAGCGCCATCTCGTGTTCGGAGACGGGATGGCCGGCGCCCATGGGGGGGGGGGAGGGGGGGAGCAGGGCGCGGGGCTGGGCTGTGTCTGGCCAGCGTTTTCTGGGTTGGGAGTTTGGTCCCCACGTATCGGGGAGCGACGTCTTGGCACGCATCCTGGCCTGAGAAATCCCCCCTTAAAGTTCAGCGTGGAAAAGGGTCCCCCCGGGACGGAGGCAGAAACACGCATGTCCCTCCACTCTTCTGAGGATCAGCGGGAAGTGAACCCACAAATGCAGCGAAAGGGCAGCGCCCAAGACCAAGGGTGGACATCCCACCTTTATTATTTATTTACTTAAAATTCTGTTATGTGTTAATCCCACCGGAGGGTATTTTATTTCATTGATTTTGAGAGAGAGAGAGAGAGAGAGAGAGAGAGAGAGGAAGGGGGAGACACACAGAAACATCGATGAGGGAGAGACACATCATTTGGTTGCCACCTGCTTGCGTCTGAAGACGGCCTGGGGATGGAGCCTGCGGCCGAGGTACGGGCCCGACCGGGAATCGAACCGTGACCTCCTGGTTCATAGGTCGACACCCAACCCCTGAGCCACCTGAGCCCGGCGTGTCCCCGTGGGGCACGAACGTGCCTCTGGCGTAGACGGGAGCCCACGGTGTTACTGGGGGTGTTTGGACATATTTGCATTTTTTTTTTTTTTTTTGCTTAGGAAAGCGTCTCTCGGAACTGTGAGTCCAAACCATGATTTCCCGGGAGCCAGGCCTCCCAGATATTGGCGAGGTCCCCACCTGTGCCCCGCGAGCTCCGCTGGGCTGCACCCGGGGTCTCTCTGTGGGGCACACGGACCCTCATTAATGGACGGCACGTGCGTAACAGCGCTAACACGCTAACAGGTGCTGTTCTCGGGGAGCGCTCACAGGATAGACACGGGCCCCCCACAGCCTCTGCTCCGCCGAACCCCACTCACCGGATGAGAAGCAGCTCCCCTTACAAACAGGATCGTGCCCCGGCCGCCGTGCAGACCTGCTGTGCCCGTCGATGACGGCGATTTTCTGCTCTTCTCGCCCCACCGCCTCCTCCCTCATGTTTCCCCTTAAGTCAGCTTACCTGGCTTCGTTCCTTTCAACAATAGGAACAGTAACCACACTGTTCTTTATTATTATCATTTATTGGTGTTTCTATCTCTCGTTCCCTCTCCCTTCCTCTCTGTAAAAATCAGTAAAATTATTTTTTTAAAAAATCCCACAAGACGGGAAGCCAGGAGCCAGCGGGTGACTTGCAAGACCCCTTTACGGAGCCGTGGTCCCGGCTTCAGTGGGCGGCTCTGTAGTTCAGGTGCAGCCCCGGCCTCACGTCGCAGACCAGGCTCAGCACCCGCGCCAGCACGCCCTCCAGGCAGCGGCGGTAGCTCCCCGTCAGCTCTGTGATCCTCTCCAGCGCCTGCGCCTCCATCTCCTCCACCAGGTTGCTCTGCGAGCCCATGGCCTGCGGGACGACACAGAGTCAGGGCCCTGCACGCGGCGTCCGCCCCGAGCGCTCCCCAAGTTCAATCTGCTCCGGCCCCGTTTCCCTACGACGACGGCCCTGAGGTGTGTGCACCTCCCGGCTTATGTGCCAGGATGTCCTCCGGGGATGGTACGATCACCAGGGTCACCAGGGGGGGCGGGTACACTTTCCTCAAACCAGGAAGGGGTCCCCGGCAGGCCACGGCTGCGTCCAGAGCTGACCTCGGCCAGTGAAAAGCAAATGGGTTCAGCATCGTCACCCCATGTTCATCGACAAGGGTTGTCATCGCATTTTCCTTTCTCTTTTCTTTTTTAAATTATTTTTATTGATTTCAGAGAGGAAGGGAGAGGAAGACAGAGGCAGAAAAACCTAAGGAAATACCAGACTTTTCAGCAATTTGCAACCACAAGTACCTTGGTCACCTGTAAATCTTGAGTTCGCTAATGGAAGTTGGGCCCGCAAACCCGTTCTACAACATTGTAGAGCAGTTGTTGTTGATTCTACCAGTCAACGCGTATAGTTGTAAAAAAAAAAAAGTTTTCTGAAGCATGTCTCTTATGAAAACATGTTGGTCAAGAATGTGTCATTTGGCCCTAGCTGGTTTGGCTCAGTGGTTAGAGCATCGGCCTGCAGACTGAAGGGTCCCAGGTTCGATTCTGGTCAAGGGCACACGCCTGGGTCTCGGGCTCGATCCCCAGTATAGGGGGTGTGCAGGAGGCAGCCGGTCCATGATTCTCTCTCCTCATTGATGTTTCTATCTCTCCCTCTCCCTTCCTCTCTGAAATCAATGAAGATATATTTAAACAAAAAGAAAAAAGAATGTGTTATTTGCAATCATCCTTGGAAGAACCCCTTCAATGTGTGCATTTGAGAGTGTAATGTTTAATACGTACTGTGTAGGTAGGAGACGATAACTGTTGATTGACACTTGAGGTGGCCAATCAAAAGGCCTTGGAATAAAGAGGCCAAGTTCACTCAAGTGTAAGATTTAGTTTAGCACTCAGCCTTGGCTGGTCTGCATCTGCTCACCCGGGGGTGCGGTCTGCGTTACAGCTGACGCATATGTGCCTCTGGGATCCCCAGCGCCGACGGGCTCACCTTCGCCTGTTTTGCGCGAAACTCCTTATCCTTCTGCATCCTGTACTGGTCCACCTCCACCATGGCCTCCTCCTTCGCTTGCCGTATGCGCTTGGCTTTTCCTGGAAACCAAGAGTGCGTAGAGGCCATGATATTTCTTTGTCAGACACGTGGCATTTCGAGCTTGATTTTTAAACATTCCAGGGGTGGTCTGGGTTATTTTTTATTTTTTTTATTTTTTAAATATATATTTTATTGACTTTTTACAGAGAGGAAGGGAGAGGGATAGAGAGCTAGAAACATCGATCAGCTGCCTCCCGCACACCCCCTACTGGGGATGTGCCCGCAACCCAGGTACATGCCCTTGCCGGGAATCAAACCCGGGACCCTTCAGTCCGCAGGCCGACGCTCTATCCACTGAGCCAAACCGGTCAGGGCTGGATTATTATTATTTTTTTTTATGACGTTTCTCTAGAATGCAAACTTCACTAAAAACTCTATTAGCCCGGCTGATGTGGCTCAGTGGTTGAGCGTCGACCTAGGAACCAGGAGGGCAGGGTTCGATTCCCAGTCAGGGCACAGGCCCGGGTTGCGGGCTCCATCCCCAGTGGGGGGCGTGCAGGAGGCAGCCGATCCATGATTCTCTCCCATCATGGATGTTTCTCTCTCTCTCTTCCTCTCCCCTTTTCTCTGAAGTTAATAAAAATACATAAAAAAACAAACAAAACAGCGATATTAAAAACACCTATTTTTTTTCCAATTGGATTCTTTAGAACGTGGGCATGACTACGCTCTTTCCCGCAAACACGTTTAAATATATTCTCTCCCCCTCCGCCCCCCTCCTCACAGCAGTTACAGCCACAGGACAGATTTCGGCTGTCACTTCCCCGGAAAGATATTATTTGGTCCGGTTTTCTGTCCTGGTCCCCGGCCAGGCGTCCACCGGCCCCGGCGGCTGGACCCCATTGCCACTGGCAGGCCTCCAGCGGCCCCAGACAGGCAGCTCAGACTCCATCAAACCCACTAACGGCTTTTAAAAGCTTTTTATTGAGATTTTTTTTTTTTCCTGGCCATTCTTCCCCTCTAGAATGTCTGATTAAGCAAGCCTCCCAGCACATCAAAGTATTTATATACACATTCACATACACATACACATTCACATACACATACACATACATATACATATACATATATATATACATGTATATATATATATATATATTTTTTTTTTTTTCTAGTAGCCTTCTTGATGGGGGACTTGAAAGTGGTTGTAAAGCGATTGTCTGATGGCGGGGAGTGTACTTAGGGAGCGCGCTCTGCTTTTATGAAGGGCGAAGGTGTAAGCCTGAAGCCAGCTCGCCGGCCACGCAGACAGCCGCCATGGCCTGGGGATCATTAGCCAGGCACGTGACGGTTGGGGCAGCGGGAGGAAGTTTGGGGGGGTGGGTTATAGACTCCTATTAATTGCTGCTGTGCCCCCCTTCCCCTCACTACCGCCCTCGGGGGTTAGGTACCAACACGCTGGGATCATTAAAACCTTAAAGAACGGCTGAACTGTATGAAAATGCGTGTCCCCTCCCCGCCCCCCGAATCGATGGTCTTTCTGCTTCAGGGACATGCCTTCCTCCTTCTGCCCGTTTCACACCGTTTCTCTCTCCTCGTGAGCGTGGGTGGACCCCCTTGGCCAGGGCGGGCGATGCTGTGCAGAGCTGGAACCCAGTGGACTGTTCCCTGAATACGTAGCCGAGGAGCCAATGTCCACCAGCGTTCACCTGGGACCCCCAAGCCCGGCTTCCTAGGGCTCTGTTTTTATGAATCCTTGTGGCGTTGGAGTGGAGATGGCTTTTCCACTTCTCTCCCTGCGAGCTGTGAGCCGCTTTCCGATCACGGTGTAATGTATGGACTAAAGATTCATGGAGGGCCCGGCCGGCGTGGCTCAGTGGTTGAGCGTTGACCTATGACCCAGGAGGTCAGGGTTCGATTCCCGGTCAGGGCACAGGCCCGGGTTGTAGGCTCGATCCCCAGTGTGGGGCGTGCAGGAGGCAGCCGATCAGTGATGCTCTCTCATCATTGATGTTTCTCTCTCTCCCTTCCTCTCTGAAATCAATAATATATATATATATATATATATATATTTTTTTTTTTTTTAATTAGACCTCTTTCTTCTTAAGCATGAAAAACAGAAGGAGTTCTGTTCTTTCTCAATACCATCTGTGCCACACATGGGGTGACCAGCAGGGGTCAGATTTTAGGTGTGACACTCCAATATTTGGTCAACAAGTTCCTACAAGATCTTATAGCTTCATCAGGCCAAACGTTCTGATGTTTGGTTTAGAAAACGGGGCTATCTCATGCATCATAGCTTTTGATTTTATTTTTGAAGGTTTTTCCTTTTTTAAAAAAAAAAATTTAATTCTTTTAAAAATATATATATTTTATTGATTTTTTACAGAGAGGAAGGGAGAGGGATGGAGAGTTAGAAACATCGATGAGAGAGAAACATCGATCAGCTGCCTCCTGCACACCCTCCACTGGGGATGTGCCCACAACCAAGGTACATGCCCTTGACCGGAATCGAACCTGGGACCCTTCAGTCCGCAGGCCGACGCTCTATCCACTGAGCCACACTGGTTAGGGCAAAAATTTGAATTCTTTATTGTGTAAAGTATTACATAACTCTCCTTTCCCCCCCATTGACCTCTCCCCGCTGCCCCCACTCCTCCATTTTTTTTTTTTTTTAAAAAAAGAGAAGAAAGGAGAGGGAGAGAGAGATAGAAGCATCCATGATGAGAGAGAATCATGGATCGGCCGCCTCCTGCACGTCCCCTGCTGGGAATCAAGCCCGCACCCCAGGCACGTGGCCTGACCGGGAATCGAACCGGGGACCGCCTGGTTCTCAGGTCAACCACTGAGCCACGCCAGCCGGGCCAGCACAGGCTTTAAATAGGACTCAGGCGTTGGGCGGTTTCTACCTGCTCCTAAGCGCCCTGTTGATTCTGTTCTAACTCGCAGGAGAAAACAAACAAGACCTTTCTCGGTGCTGTTAAATATTATGACAAAGCCGGCCCCGTTCAGGGAGCGCGCTGCGCTTCTCTCTAACGGCAAACGCTGGGGAAGGCGACACGTCGGCAGGAACCGGAGCCACTTTATCTCATTCACCGCCTTCTCGGGTCTTTCCGTGGCTTCTCTTTTCCTTGCACTTTTCTTTCTTTTTTTAAAAAAATATTTTAAAATAGATTTTTACAGAGCGGAAGGGAGAAGGATAGAGAGTTAGAAACGTCGATGAGAGAGGAACATCCATCAGCTGCCTCCTGCACATCTCCTACTGGGGATGTGCCCGCAGCCAAGGTACATGCCCTTGACCGGAATCGAACCTGGGACCCTTCAGTCCGAGGGCTGACGCTCTAGCCACTGAGCAAACCGGTTAGGGCTGCACTTTTCTTATTAAAAAAAAAAAAAAAAAAATGTATATATACCGTACGGGGTTTTCTGTAGCTCCTGGGTGGAATATAACCAAAGGGCATTTATTGGCCGGTGGAAATGTCTGTGGTGGTTATTTTACGGTGACCCCCTCGGAGAAATGAAAGCCCAGTAATGCTCTGGAGTCGCCCCCTTGTCTGTGGGCCGTGAAGGAAGGAGGGGTATTTATAGGCCCACAAACCTCAGAAGACAGGGCCGCCGAGTTCTCACAGAACCACTTCTGGTTTACGAGTTTGTTAAAAGGCACGTCTTCCTGAGCCCGGCGTGCACTTGCGCGGCGCGGGGTTGATTAAATCCAGGGGCTGGTGGAAATCATTCGGAAGAAAGTGCATATTCGGGAACAAATAGGCAATTAGCTGATTTAAAAAAAAAAAGAGGAAAAAAAAAAGTATGCGTGGCTGGCGTCCTGGAGACCCGCGAGAAAGGAATTGTCTTCCTGTAACAGCCAGTGTGTGATCTGCGTGGCTCCGCGGTTGAGTGTCGACCTGGGAACCAGGAGGTCACCAGTTCGATTCCCGGTCGGGGCACAGGCCCGGGTTGTGAGCTTGACCCCCAGTGTGGGGCGTGCAGGAGGCAGCCGGTCCATGATTCTCTCTCATCATGGATGTTTCTCTCTCTCTCTCTCTCCCTCCCCCCTCCTCTCTGACATCAATAAAAATGTATTTTAAGAAAATAATAAATAAAATAAATAAAGTCAACTAGATGGTAAGCTGTTTGGCAGCTGAGCATATAATGTAGTCCACAATCAGGGAATAAAAGCAAATATCTGAGCTTTTCTTTTTTAAAAAAAAAAAATTTATTGATTTCAGAGAGGGAGAGAGAGAGAAACATCCATGATGAGAGAGAATCATGGACCGGCTGCCTCCTGCACGCCCCACCCTGGGGATGGAGCCCACAACCCGGGCATGGGCCCGGATCAGGGAGCAGACCGTGACCTCCTGGTTCCTAGGTCGATGCTCAGCCACTGAGCCACACCGGCCGGGCAGGTTTCTGGGCGTTTCCAGTCATCTTACTGGAACAGGCCAGGTCTCTCTGGTTACAGGAAAAGTTGACTCAGAACTGGCAGCAGTTGTTAAAAAAAAGAAAAAAAAGAATGAAACTAGAGTGTTCTACTCCAGTCTCCCACTGCTATTGCTTATAATAATATACAAGTAAGTAGTTTAAATATTAAACATGACTGTTGCCCTGGCCGGCTTGCCTCAGGGGTTCCCAATCAAGGGCACGTCGTACCTGGGCTACAGGTTCGATCCCCGGCCCTGGTCGGGGCACGCGTGGCCGGCAACCAATCGATGTGTCTCTCTCACATCAATGTTTCTCTCTCCCACCTCCTCCCTAACACTCTCTCTAAAAATCAATGGAAAAAAATATCCTCGGGGGAGGACTAAAGAAAACCCAACTATTTAGTCTGTAATCTACTATCTCAGATACAGTTTTCTGATCCTCGAAATGCCTTGGCTGTGGGTTCATTTTACGCAAAGAAAAGATGGAAGGTCTGAGACACTAAATAACATCTACAAAGAAACTTACGTTAATATAAAGAAACATTAAAAAAAGAAAAAGCCAACGCTTTTTGTACTCTGTGGCCTCACCCCCAGCTTTTCAACCTGCTTAGAGTCCACTCCCACCTTCTCCCCCCCACCCCCCACCCCCACCCCCCCAAGTTGTCTCTCTCAGTGGCTCGTGACTGTCTTGAGAGTCAGTAGCAGCCCATTCCCCATCGGGTCTGTATTCCTCAAGGCAAGGCATGTACACCGCACACCGTATTAGGCGGCGACTCGGGAGATCTGAGGTGGCCTCCTTCGTGGAATGCATTCCTATTTTTGCAGCATGCTGTATGAACACGGGCACCTCATTAATCTCGTATTTTTCTAAAATGATTACCATGTGCATGGATCTGTTTGTATTCTCCTCTCCCCCTCTCTCCCTCCGTCTCTGTCTTTCTTCTTTAAAGATATATTCAGGCCTTCACCCCTGAAGGCCTGGGGCAGGGGGTGGGGGTGGGGGGTTGGAAGAGGTCATTGCGGGGGAAGGGGGGACATATGTAATACTTTCAACAATAAAGAACTTTTTTAAAGTAAAAAAAAGAAAGAAAAATACACACACACACACACACACACACACATATTCAGGAGTCTACTATAAAGGGTCTCAGGTTGGCTTCTGGTCAAGGGCATGTACCTGGGTTGCAGGATCGATTCCTGGCCCCGGGTCCGGGTGCATGCAGGAGGCAACCAATCGACGTGTCTCTCTCACACTGATGTCTCTCTCTCTCTCTCTCTCTCTCTCTCTCTCTCTCTCTCTGTCTCCCCCACTCCCTCCCTCCCTTCTATTCTCTCTAAAAAAGCAATGGGAAAAATGTCCTCAGGTGAGGAAGAACAAAAAAGAAAAAGGATCTTAGACCTTCTAAATGGTGCTCACATCCTCGTTCACGGGTTTTCATTCCGAGTCTCTGTTTGGCCTTCTTACCTGTCAGATTTCAAATGAATTTCTTTATGGGGAAAAAACAACACAGTGAAACCTCTGGGGCTATAGAAGCGATGGCTATCTGACCCTCCCATGACATTCTTTCTCCCTCTCTCTCTCTCTCTTCCCCGTTCTCATCTATACACTTATCTCCCTGGAAAATTCTTGAGGGAAGAGCCTAGACTTTGTCATCTGTATACAGCTCACCGTGGTTGGAAAATAGCCCCCCCGCCCCCCAAAATTAAAGGAGGGAATGAAAGACAAAGGAGTGAAACAGGAGAGATGCTCACACAACCCCAGGTAGGGAAAGTAAGGCTTGTTTTCGCCTGGGGACCTTGGAGAAGTCATATGATGGGCGAGGTCAGTGGAGTTGTCACTATAAGCTCCTACCACTGATCCCTATGTCAGATAGCGGCTGGCTCCCGGCCCGCCCTGGTCGGAGCCGGGGACAGACAGACCGACAGACTGACGGACATTCCCTGGGACACGGAGCACGGAGGTGAGTTGTTGAAAGTCAAAATATTTTTCCGGAGTGTGTTCTATGGCTGGTGGGGTATCTGGTTGAATATTCATGAACAGAGATGGAGAAAAAAAAATTACCCAGGTACCTTACAGCTGCGGGCAGCTACGATGGACATGTGTGCATTAATCCTAGAGCGTGTTCCTTCCAATGCTGGCGAAAGGCAATGATGTGTGGCTTTTATCTGCGTTGTGGAAGCTGAGGCCGGGGTCCCCGTGGTCGGCAAACTGCGGCTCGTGAGCCACAGGCGGCTCTTTGGCCCCTTGGGTGTGGCTCTTCCTAAGCCTTAGGAGGACCCTGATTAAGTGAATAACAATGTACCTACCTGTATAGTTTAAGTTTAAAAAACTTGGCTCTCAAAAGAAATTTCAGTCGTTGTACTGTTGGTATTTGGCTCTGTTGACGAATGAGTTTGCCGACCACTGGCCCAGACTGTTCTGAGCTTCCGAACAACGTGGGTGGTTCATAGCCCCTTTCTCCTCCCGTGACTGGGAAAAGGGAGAAATAACTGGTCAAACCACCTGAGTCACCTGGTGATACTGGTTAGGGAGGGGCTCCCGGATTACTCCTAGGCCCCTGTTTGCCTCGATTGCCCTTTTATTCCTTCCGTCCTGAGGAAGCGAGGTTAGCACCCGTGGTCGCCTCTTCAAACCAGTTGTTCTGTCTTGGGTGTTTCCAACGTGGCCAGGACATTTGAATAAAGGGGGAGGGAGTTTCTCCCCCTTCGCCACCCAGAAGGGGCCGGGCTGCTCTGCGTCCTGCGATCGTTTGCATAGTTTGTTTTGCAGAAACATAAATGGCCGAGCAGGCCAGTTCGTCTCCATATCTTCCTCCTTCCTTTCCTCCTCTAACAGGCCTCACGCCAGGGACTCTTGGCTTGTGTGGTTGGCACCCACCATGCTGAGTGTTCAGGTAATCCATTCGTCTTAAGAAAGGAAAATGGCCCTGGCTGGTGTGGCTCAGTGGATAGAGCATCAGCCTGTGGACCGAAGGGTCCCAAGTTTGATTCCAGTCAAGGGCACATGCCCGGGGTTGTGGGTTCGATCCCCAGTTGGGGGCGTGCAGGAGGCAGCTGATCCATGATTCTCTCTCATCATAGATGTTTCTATCTCTCTGTCCCTCTCCCTTCCTCTCTGAAATCAATAAATATATATTTTTTAAAAAAGAAAGGGAAATGGTTACCTGAGGTTCGAACCCCAGTGAACTGAATGTGACCCCTACTGCCCGCCTGTTGGCGTGGTGACTACTGTCCCACCTCCCGTTCCGGACACTACCGCTCACTCTACGGGGTCCTCTTTGCCCCTGTCACCCCACGCACCCAAAGAGTGACAACAGCCACAGTGTAAGGCGTGGCCTCTCTGGCTGGACCGTGAATTTAAATATTTTTATTGATGTCAGAGAGGAAGGGAGAGGGAGAGAGAGATAGAAACACCAATGATGAGAGAGAACCATGGATCGGCTGCCTCCTGTACCCCCTGCACTGGGGATCGAGCCCACAACCCAGGCATGGGCCCTGGACCAGAACTGAACCTGGGACCTTTCAGTCCACAGGCTGACGCTCTATCCACTGAGCCACACCGGCCAGGGCGACACCAGTGACTATAGATCAAGTGATGATTGGAAACGGGAGCGTGGGGAGAACACGGCGTCGGCCCACGCGGCCTGCATTCGAGGTGCAGACTCGTGACGTGGGGTTTCCTCATGGCAGAGGTGATGGGCATTTTGGGGAGCGTGGTGGTTGGGATCTTGGCCTGGAAGCGGGACCCCACCCAGGCCCTGCCTCTACCACTTCCTGTCTGGAGGACTTGGGCAATAAAATCTCTAGGCTTCCCTTTCCCCTTTTGTTCATGTGAGGATTCAATGAGACACGCATTACCCATAGTGCCCGGCACACTCTTGTCTAATTTTTAGAATTATGGCCTTTTTCAAATGATGACCCCTCAGTCTCCCCCTCCACAGAGTGGGAATAATAGTGGTCCCTAATTCATGGCTACGAAAGTGACCAGGAAAGGGGTTGAAATTGACTGAGAAGGTTCTATGGGCAAGTTCCTAGATGCATGGCCCAGTCAACAGAAAGTTAGAGAAAATGAGACTACACCCTGGCCGGTATGGCTCAGTGGATAGAGCGCCGGCCTGTGGACCGAAGGGTCCCGGGTTCCATTCGGGTCAAGGGCATGTACCTCGGTTGCAGGCTCCTCCCCAGCCCGGGGCCCTGGTCGGGGCGCGTGCAGGAGGCATCCACAATCCATGTGTCTCTCTCACATGGACGTTTCTCTCCCTCTGTCTCTCTCCCTCCGACTCTCTAAATTTCGATGGAAAAATATCCTCGGGTGAGGATTAAAAAAAGGAAAAGAAACAGAGAATAAAATGGAAATATTATGAAACATCGGAAATTCAAAGGCATCCAGAGAAGCACAAGAGAGAGCCCTGAGCTGCATTATCATAATTTTACAGAAACGGGCAGGGCGCTGAGGGCGGGTCGGTCCCCCGCCCCGGAGTGTCCTCTGCAAGCTGCAGACTTCCATCTGCAAGTCCTCTCTCTCTCACGCCTTTCACAGGATTGCGACACGCGTGGGGCCCTCAGGAAGTTGCAGAGACGGGGAAGCCCAGGCCTCTGTAACTTCCACGTCTGTCCGTGAGCATTTCACAGCCTCTCAGGAAGATCTGGGTGAGAGACCTTTGTCCCCATGAGAGCCCTGGGGCCATGGTGTCACAGGAAGAGGGCTGGGCACCGAGTTGACCTGCAGCTGAGGCCCATGCCCACCCGACGGCCCCCCGTGCCCACTGGTGCCACCTCCCTCCCGGGCAGGCAGAGGGGGACTTACTCTTCTTGGCCTCCTCCAGCTTGTCCTTGGCCCTCTTCTCGGCCTGCAGGAGCTGGTGGATGCCCTGGGACTGGCTGGCCATGGCGGTGTCGAGTCGGGCGGCCTCTGTGGATTCCGGGAAGGGAATGGACGGGGCGGCTTATCCGGCTGGAAATCACCAGCCCCTCTGCTTGTGGTGTCAACAGCTGGAGCTGTAAACTCGCTCTTTGTTCCCTGGTGGCCGGCTGGGGCCGGAGGGAGAGCCGGGCCCTAAGGGGAGCCCAAGGGTGGAATCCAGAAAAACAAGTCAGGTGGGTGGACCTGAGGGAGCTGGAGCTGTCATTCTTAGGGACCTCAGGGGACAGGGCCGTGTGTGATGGAGGTGCTGAGTCTCCTGAGAAGGAGGGTCCTCACGGCTCTTCTTCCCAGACAGAGGGACCTGCCGCGGGCTCTTCTCCGGAGGACAGGGCCTTTCTTTGGTCCTCGTCTGGGCGGTTCTAGGGGGAGGGCGTTTTCTTGGTTTTGAGTGACTCAGTGATGCCTGGGACATAGTGACTGAGCTTGGTCTCCGAGGGGCATCCGGCTCGTGCACAGTGAGGGGCCAGGGGGCTGTTCCCTCTCCTCCCCAGACGTCAGGGGCCGGGAAGGAGCTGCCGGGGAGGGGGTGAGGGCTAAGGATGGCCCTGTGCACTGGCGGTGCTGTGTGTCCCAGTCCCAGGGAGCCATCAGGGTGGGGACGGGATCAGCAATCGGGGAATCAGAGCTGTAGGTTCGCGGTTCCACTGAAATGGCGTTACCCGGTGTTGGCCTTGGGTCTCGTTCTGAGACAGGGCATGTGGTCCAGTGGTGAGCAGACAAATGAGCTAGTTGATCACAGGGGAGAATCATCAGACATCTTATCCACGTCTCTAAAAGTTTTCTTCGGCTCCAGCTGGTTTGGCTCAGTGGGTAGAGCGTCAGACTGTAGACCAAAGGGTCCCAGGTTCGATTCTGGTCAGGGCGCATGCCTGGGTTGTGGGCTCAATCCCCAGTTGGGGGTGTGCAGGAGGCAGCCGATCAATGATTCTCTCTCATCATTGATGTTTCTCTCTCTCTCTCCCTTCCTCTCTGAAATCAATAAAAATATATTTTTAAAAAATGAAAAAATAAAAGTTCTCTTCGGCATGAAAAGCGAAGCTTTTGACTTACGGCCAAGACTCCCCGCCCCGCCGAAATGATCAGGATATTAGAGTTTCACAGATTGTCGATTCCCAAAACGACTTCTCTGTGGCCTCGCCCCTAAAACCCAGCTTCAGTCTCTCTGCATCGGCGGGTGGGTGTGAAAGTAACGTCTCCCACCATTAAGGGTGCATCGCCCCTAGCAAATCTGTCCAAAAGAACCACCTTCCTTCCTTTTTACCAAGTAACGTCTCCCACCATTAAGGGCGCATCGCCCCTAGCAAATCTGTCCAAAAGAACCACCTTCCTTCCTTTTTACCTTCCCATCGAGTCCGCTGGGAAAATGTAAATTTTTATCGGGCCTCTACAATCCTTGGTAGAGCTGGAGCAGACGGCTTTCGGTAAACACACATTCTAACTCGTGAGAGCGGATGTGAATGTGAAGGGGAGAGAGGTTCTTCAGGCTCAAGTGCAGCCCGTCTTGGGCCTCGATTGGTACATGTAAAAATATATACATAGCCCTGGTTGGAATGGCTCAGTGGATAGAGCATCGGCCTGTGGACTGAAGGGTCCCGAGTTCGATTCCAGTCAAGGGCACATGCCCGGGTTGTGGGCTCGATCCCCAGTAGGAGGCATGCAAGAGGCAGCTGATCAATGATGCTCTCTCATCACTGATGTTTCTCTCTCTCTCTCTCTCCCCCTGTCTGAAATCAATAAAAAGATATTAAAAATAATAATGAAAATATATTTCAAAATATTACATATTTTTAAAAAATCTATAATAATATGAGGTGATCATTATAATTTTCAATGATGAACTGAGTCTTCAGTTGTACGTCTTTGTAAAGATTCTTAAGGGTTAGAAGGGATGTGTTTGTTGGATGGAATAGAGAAATGGACGTATTACTCACAGTCACTTTGTAAAACAGGAAGTGTCCGAATCAGCATAGTGTGTATCTGGCCCCTGATCTCTGTGTCTCTTTCCTAAATGCTCATCTGTTTCCTTGTTTTATTCCTGCAAAATGCAAAAAAAAAAAAAAAAAAAAAAAATAGTTAATGAAAACGACAAAATCTTAAAGACAAAATCGGTGCCCGTTGGAAAAAGTCCGCTGGTTCGATGGTAGAGGATCACACAGGAATGCCTCTGATGTATTCTTGTTCTTAACTTGGAAAAAAAGAGAAGAAATCGAACGTTGAATGTTTTGAATAGCTATAATTAAAAGTTAGCCAGTGCTCCGTGAGCATATATATATATTTTTTGGTTTCTCTTTTTTGAAGTTTCGTTTCTACTCAGACTTCCTCTTATGCCGTCATCACCTCTGCTCGGTGCACTGCCATGCACCTTCCTCTTTTGCCCATGTTGGTGTAGCCCTTGGACCCGGATCATAGCTGGAATCACAGGAGATTCATTCCTGTTTTCCCCCAGGCCCGAAACTTGTAGGTATTTTAAAACCATGAACTCCAACCTTTTTTTATTTTTTTAATATATTTTATTGATTTTTTACAGAGAGGAAGGGAGAGCGATAGAGAGCTAGAAACATCGATGAGAGAGAAACATTGACCAGCTGCCTCCTGCACACCCCCTACTGGGGATGTGCCCGCAACCCAGGGACATGCCCTTGACCGGAATCGAACCTGGGACCCTTCAGTCCGCAGGCTGACGCTCTACCCACTGAGCCAGACCGGCTAGCCCTCTGAGGATAAAGATGAAGTACAACTGTGAGAAATCTGAGCGGGTGCTGCTCTGTTTCAAACTGTCACCCCCGGCCGGTGTGGCCCAGTGGTTGAGTGTTGACCTATGAACCAGGAGGTCACGGTTCGATTCCCGGTCAGGGCACATGCCTGGGTTTCAGGCTCGATCCCCAGGGTGGGGCGTGCAGGAGGCGGCCGATCCATGATTCTCTCCCCTCGTCGATGTTTCTCTCTCTCTCTCTCCCCCTTCCTCTCTGAAGTCAATGCAAATACATTAAAAAATAATAATGTAGACCTAGCTATGGTGAAATGATGCAAATTCTTTGCCAGATGGCTTCTGCCATGGTCCACTCCCAGGAATAGAGGAGACCCTTCAACTTCCACTTTCGTTTTCCCGACGGAGGTCACAACGTCCTGCTCCCTTTGGTTTGGTGCTGGTGAGGGGACCCGCCTGTGAGGCTTCAGCACCGGGTACCCAAGGCCTGAGCTGTGGTGACCTGAGTCAGGCTCCCGTTCCTGCCCTCCACGTGGGTCCTTAGAGAAGCAACTGTGATAGAAGGTTGAGCGTAGGGACTGATAAGTCGGGAGACCCCGGGCAAGTTACTTCGCCTCATCCATACAGTGCTGTGTGTGGACGGAAGAGTCCCTGTGTCGTGAGCATCTAAGAAGATGAAGTTGGATCAAGTCTGAGAAAGGCATGTCCTGTAGTCCGCGCTCAGGAAATGTTGGCTGTTATCGTTGGCCGTTGGACAACGCAGAGGCCACACGTCCAAGCAGTAGGTAGCCTACTCGACTTCCACACACACCAGGGATTGCAGGGACTCGTCTAGCTCCGCTCTGAACCGTGTCGTCTCTTTCTCCGGGGCCAACACTCCCCCGTCTAAAGTCATGGTCTGCAGGACGTCCTCATGGAGCCCCTGAAGGGTATCAAACACCCCGTTGGTCCAGATGGACCACGACACCACGTTATCCGTCCTTCATGGCAGCCCGGGAGGAGAACCACAGCGTTGGCCCCTCTTCCTCCATCGGCGCCAGCCCCCCGGGCTTAGATTCTCCTGCCCGTTGGCCACCCTGTCCAGGGAATCGGCGAGGGAGCTCGAGATGGAATCCCTCCCAGGTGATTTCTTGAGGGGAAATGGGATTGAGGCTCCCAAGTGCTGGGACGTGGATGAGGTGTGGCTGAGGCTGTCCTTGGAGGACCCTGTGTGCCTGGTGGGGGTAACAATGGCTCCCGGAGGACTTAGCACATCACCAGATTGGGGGCAGAGGGTGTTTCCCAGCTCATTGCATAGAGAACCGAGACTGCTTTGCACACCATCCGCCCATAACTTCTCTTACTAGAAACTCTTGTCAGGGAGGCAAGGAGGGGGTGGTGTTCCTCTTTCTTCTGCTCTTCCCCCCTCCACCCCCTCACCCCCACACAGGCTGCCCTTTGCTGGGCTATTTTAAATTTTCTAGGGCTGCCCCAAACGCTCCTTTAGCCTACTTCCTCCTCTATGGGATGGGAGAGGGAAGAAGGAACAGGATTGAGTTACCCACCGGTGACCCTGGAGAATGTTCAGGAAACCTCCGTGAAAGGGAGGTAAGGTGTCAGAGAGACAGTGCCAAGAACATGACCTAGAGACGCAGTGTGTCACGTAGCCTTTGCCCTGGGCCAGTTCCTGTCTCTGTGCCCTCTTTCTGGCGTCCGGGACACGCCCCGTTCTGCGACTTTAGCTCCTGAGATGTCCTCTTCCTTTGGCCAAAGCAGCGGCTGAGCACAGGGGACATCAGAGAGCATTAGTACAGGAGGGTGCTCAGAGATATCGGGGAGCCTGCATGACCCCCGCCCCCCCCCGAAGCTCAAGTAGATTGCTGGGTTAGGAACTCACGAGAAAGGAGGGGTGGTTGGGAGACGTTCTGGGGCAGGAGGGGCTGCACAGCCAAGCAGAAGGACACGGGAAGTTTTGGGGGACGGAGGGAGAAGGGGGCTGGATGTTGCAGAGTGGAACCGAGGCTCAGGATCAGAGGTGAACGGCCGGCTGGAGTGGGTGGAGCTCATTTGCATAAAATAGGCTCCCATTCGCGTCTAACGCAGGCAGAACTTCTCATCCCGTGTGCATAGAGACTCCTGAAGTCAACATAGGCCATGTACTTGCGTTATTATTTAGCGCTGAGGGTATTGACGTAAGCAAAACCCACTCACCCAATCAGCAAGGTGCACCATGTTGAAGCTGGACATGGAGCGATGTCAAGCATAAAGCAAAAATGTCCAGACAGTAGAACCGCCTTGTGCCCAACGGCAGCCACTCCCCAGACCTGCC